CCAGGAGATTTAACAACTTCTGCAAAGAACTATATCTATCGTGTATGGCAAGAGACTTGGGATCAACAGGTCCTCAACAAACTGCATAACATTCATCCTTCCACTTTTCATTGGGCAGCACTACCAGTGCGAAGAGACGATGTCCGCTTGACTCGACATCGCATTGGTCACACTCGTTTCACGCACAGGCACCTTCTGTTGGGTGAAAATGCCCCAGAATGTCCCTCGTAAAAAATGCCATATTCGGTTTATCACATTTTAATAGATTGTCCCGTTTTTAACCGTCATCGCACCACCTTCTTTCATACATCTGTTTTAACCTTATCTGACTTGGTGGGGGAAACTCCCCACCAAATTCTTTTTGCCTTCCTTTTAAAAATTGGATTTCTACATTTAATTTTATTTGTGTGTTTCTTTGTATTTTTAATATATTTTACGTGTGTATGCATGCGTGCATGCATGCATAATATAATGTGTAAATATACTTTTATATATATATTTTTATTCTTATTATAACAAGTGTTTGGCGCAGCTTGGCCAAAAGTTGGCCCTTGCGCCATTAAAATTAACAATCATCATCATCACTCCCACCAAATTTTATTGGATTTTAACATATGATTTGATTTGTGTATTTCTTTGGATTTTTACTACACTGCTGGACAATTGCTAAGGACGGATAACACTATCATCCATAGCAACCACAAAATGAAAGGAAGCAAAATGTGGAAAATTAGAATAAGTGCGGGATATTAGTAAGAAGAAGTATGGGTATGCAAATTTTTTCCACGTCTGTTCATCACGTGATAGCGTTCATAAGAGCTTTAAAGGTTTTGACGCGTGTGGACAGTTGTTGTTTCAAGTCAAAGTTTTACAGGAAAGATTTAAAAGACGAACTTAAAATTTTTGACATGTCTTCCCGACATCACATAGATGATTTTATGCGTGGCCGAATTATCGGAAAGAACGAAGAAGGGCGAAAAATAACAGATGTTGCCAGGGAGTTCGACATCGCTCACAGCGTTGTTTCACGGCTGTGGATATCATTTAAAACTACTGGAATGTGTAGTAGATGGCACAGGGGAGGTCGTGTTAGAAGTACGACGCCTGCAGAAGACAGATATATCGTCCTATATCAGCAAAAAGTAACAGGCGCACCACAGCTCAGCAGGTGGCAAATCAGTTTCTTGCTGCCTCAGGAAAGCAGATCTCCCGAAAAACTGTTGCCAGACGTTTGAGAGAAGGAGGACTATACGCACTCAGACCTGTTGTGTGTGTCCCATTGACCAGACAGCACCGTAATGCCCGTTTGCAATGGTGTCGTGAGCATCACAATTGGACTGAACAGGACTGGGCATGCGTACTATTCTCAGATAAGTGTAGGTTCAGTCTGTCATCGGATTGTAGACGCCAACTGATCTGGCGCGAGAGTGGTTGAAAGCGCCAAGTTGCTGGTCGAAACTATCCTCCGACAAACAAGAACACCCTCATCCGTGCACTCACAGAGGAATGGGATAAATTGCCTCAAAGGCTGCTGGATAATGTTGTGCAAAGTATGGTACGACGTGTGGAATGTTGCATCACACTAAACGGTGGACATATCCCGTACTGATACCTTTCTTTAAAGGGCCTGCTGACTTTTAGATGCATTGTTCCATTTCTCCGTACGCAGATCAAATGAACATTTTTTTTCTTTCAGATGTTTCACAGCTTTTGTACATTCCAGAACAATAAATATTCTTTTTTATTCTAATGTCTGAACAGTGTGGCAACTATATTTTATCCTACTAGGCCTCATGTCTCGCTTAATGTTATGCTACATAGCAATTTGTGATCCGTCCTTAGCAATTGTCCAGCAGTGTATATTATATGTATGCATGCATATATGTGTATACATATACTTTTAAACCTATATATTTTTAAAATTATACGACTTTTAGTTTAACAAGTGTTTGGCGCAGCTTGGCCAAAATTGGCCCTTGCGCCAATAAACCCCACACTCACTCACTCACCCAGATTCAAATCCCGATCCAGCCCGGAAATCTCTTTTACTTCATCCAAGTATAACAGCAATATCAAAACGATAAAACTACAAACGCGAAGAATGTGAAAAAATTTTATTATATTGGAACAATATTTTTGCAAGACATTCCTACAGAGTTTTTGGTTAATATATTGCTTTCTACGGTAAAGTTCACAAATTTGTTTACAAACTTTAACGAGGCTCGGAGGTCTAGAAATATGATTCCCGGTTCGGGTGCGAGAGGTCCCGGGTTCAAATCCCGGCCGAGCCCGAAGAACTCTTTCTTTTCTAGGTTTTTGTATTGATTTCAAAAACCGATTAATTGTTAATTACGAACTATATCAAAAACAGCACGAGGATATTGAATACGAAATACCTGAATTTCGGAGAGATGTAGAGATCGTGTAACACGTGATATGCCAAATGTAAATTCCCATGCTGAGTTTTCATTTTGAAAGTTTCACCCCTTTAAAGTTTCAATTTCCACAATAGATTCTATTGCATGTTTTGCAATGTGGCAATTTTAAGAAAAGCCTTTCAAGTGGTCTAAATTCTTAACTATTTTAAATAAACAAAGTATTGAGATATCATTGCTCACGAGCATTTCTTAGTAAGCATATTGTCTAAAGTAGCAACTGGAAAATGAATGACTTAACAACACTCCAAACGTAGTCCTGTGTTCTAGAGACATGATATTGAGACATCAAAGTGCGCGACGCTTAGTTTTCTCATCCAAACCGAGCCTGATGTGCAAAATGTTTCCTTTTTAATTTAAAAAATGACATCCAAAAAGTAACATCAGTGGAGAATATATAGTCTTGGAAAGTAAATAATCCCCCAAGCTCATTATCTATTTAAAGGAAACGGTTCGTTTATCATGCAAACAATTCTTATCACAAGTTGCAATTTTAGAAATTCTCGAACAAGTATGTTGAACGCTGTAAAAATAAAAATACCCCCCATAACCGTAGTTCGGTGGTCTAGGGGTATGTTTCTCGCTTCAGGTGCGACAGGTTCCCGTTTCAATTTCCGGTCGAGCCCACTATGCTAAACCGTTTTGAAGGAAAGCAGGTTACCTCTTGTGTCTTTTGCAACAGAATTATGATAACCCAGGAGTAAGCAAGGAATTACTTACTTTTACCTCCATTGAAAAATTATAATTGCATTCTTCTTGGCACCTCTTTTAAATGCTTGGTACAGACGGATACGACATGGCTCGATGGTCTAGGGGTATGATTCTCGCTTAGGGTGCGAGAGGTCCCGGGTTCAAATCCCGGTCGAGCCCGGAAATCTCTTTTTACTTCATCCAAGTATAACAGCAATATCAAAACGATAAAACTACAAACGTGAAAATGCGAAAAAGATCTTTATTATATTGGAACAATATTTTTGCAAGACGTTCCTACAGAGTTTTTTGGTAAATATATTGCTTTTTCTACAGTATAGTTCACAAATTTGTTTACACACCTTAACGAGGCTCGGTGGTCTAGGGGTATGATTCTCGCTTAGGGTGCGAGAGGTCCCGGGTTCAATTCCCGGTCTATCCCAATTTGCTAAACATTTTCGAAGGTAACATTTTATTGTTCCTCTTGTGTCTTTTTCAAAAGAATTTGATAACCCAGGAGTAAACAAGGAATTATTTTCTTTTTCATCCATTGAAAAATTATAATTGCATTCTTCTTGGCACCTCTTTTAAATGCTTGGTTCAGACGGATACGACATGGCTCGATGGTCTAGGGGTATGATTCTCGCTTTGGGTGTGAGAGGTCCGGGTTCAAATCCCGGTCGAGCCCGGAAATCTCTTTTTACTTCATCCAAGTATAACAGCAATATCAAAACGTTAAAACTACAAACGCGAAGAATGTGAAAATGATCTTTATTATATTGGAACAATATTTTTGCAAGACGTTCCTACAGAGTTTTTGGTTAATATATTGCTTTCTACATTAAAGTTCACAAATTTGTTTACAAACCTTAACGAGGCTCGTTGGTCTAGAGGTATGATTCTCGCTTAGGGTGCGAGAGGTCCCGGGTTCAATTCCCGGTCGAGCCCACTGTGCTAAACCATTTCGAAGGAAACATTTTACTGTGCCTCTTTTGTCTTTTTCAACAGAATAGATAACCCAGGAGTAAACAAGGAATTATTTTCTTTTCCATCCATTGAGAAATTATAATTGCATTCCTCTTGGAACCTCTTTTAAATGCTTGGATCAGACGGATACGATACTGCTATGTTGTCTATTGGTATGATTCTCGCTTTGAGTGCGAGAGGTCCCGTGTCCAAATCCCGGCCGTGCCTAAAATACTTTTTTTTCTAGGTTTTTGGTTGGATTTCTTCGACAGATTAACTGTTAATTGACGACCCGTTATAAAACGGCACGAGGATATTGAACTCGAAATACGTGAATTTTGGAAGAGATGTAGAGACAGTGTAACACGACTTCTACCAATTGCAAATTCCCATACATAATTTTTATTTTGACAGTTTCAGTTGACCTTTCCACAATAGAATAGATTGCATGTTTTGCAACGGGATAATCTAAAGAAAAGCCTTTCAAGTGGTCTAAATTCCTAACAATTTTAAATAAACAAAGTTTTGAGATATCATTGCCCACGAGCATTTCGTAGTAAAGATATTGTCTAAAGTTGCAAGAGGAAAATGAATGAGTTAACAACACTGCAAACGTCGTCATGTTTCTAGAGACATGATATTGAGACATCAGAGTTCTCCCCGCTCAGTTTTCTTATCCGAACCGAGCCTGATGTGTAAAGTGTTTCCTTTAGAATGGAAAAAATGACATCCAAATAGTAACACCAGTGGAGAATTGTCTTGGAAAGCAAATAACCACCAAACACGTTATCAATTTAAAAGAAACGGCTCGTTTATCAGGCACAATATTTTTAACACAAATTGAAAATTTAGAAATTCTTGAACAAGTACGTTTAACGCTGTAAAACTAAATATACCCGCAAAACCCGTGGCTCGGTGATCTAGGGGTATGATTCTCGCTTCGGGGGAGAGGTCCCGGGTTCAATTCCCGTTCGAGCTCACTGTGCTAAACTGTTTTTAAGGAAAACAGATTACTGTTCCTCTTGTGTTTTTTTCTATAGAATTTGATAACCCAGGAGTAAACAAGGAATTATTTTCTTTCCATGCATTGAAAAATTATAATTGCAATCCTCTTGGAACCTCTTTTAAGTTATACACTCGGTAAAAGTTCGAGCAAAACGCCGGGCTAAGCGGTGGAGGGAAGGGAGATATTTTGAAAAAGAATATTAGAAGTGCTGATTTTGTGAAGGAAAGTGAAAATTTATATACAAAAGAGAGAATGCCCGTGCAATGCCGTGCCATGCAGCTAGTTTCTGCTTAATATTGGTAGTGTTTGTTACGACAACTGGTTAATCATCCTAATCTTAATAAAATATTTTCACAAAATTTTGAAACACAAAGCATTTATGTACAACATAATAATAATACTAAAGCTAAAAATCATCAGATTTTTACATAAAATTTAATTATTTTAGTTTTAAATTGGGGAAATTTAGCAACCTTTAAAGTCGCCCGACAAGAAGTGAAACACCATAATACAGTACTACTATATGTTCCCTATAAATGTAGTTTGGCACATCATGGAAATAGAGTATAACGGCGTTCATCCGAACGTTTATTATCCAGATCGTCAAATATCCGGATCAGTTTTTGTTTAACTACATGTACTGTGTATGAAAATGCATGAAATAAGCTATGGCCAGATTTAGAAGCCGAAAAAGACTTCAATGACAACCACAGGGAGGAGAATGCCGACTTTGTCCAATCAATCTCAGGATTTCAAGAATGCGATGGAAATGTAGAAACACCTGGATGGCGTGTCATGCAGAAGATTAGGGATTTAAAATGTAAATGACGAGATTGTGACTTCCTTGCAAGAAGAATCCGACCCTGTCGACGATGAAACGGTTAAAGACATAGGCAACAACAGCGAAAGTAGCAAGGGTCCCTCAAATGCTAACATGTTTTCTGCGTTAGAGACATGGAGTGGTACGAACAACAATCACAGTGCTGTCCTACTTAACTACTGCTGCTTGAGAGAATCAGAGACCTTGTGCAGAGAAAAAATGAAGGTGCACAATGGTACAGCGATCTTTATTTTCCACAGTAAAGGTAAAGTTGCGACATTTTGTACCTATTTTACTTTTTCTTCAAGCAATGTGATGATTTTCAATATTCGTGTAGTATCCTGTTTCATATACTGTATGGATCGCATTCGGTTTTTGGTTATCTGAACAATCGCGTATCCGAACGGTGTCCGACCCCAATTGATTCGGATAAACGACCTTATACTGTATTCAGTTTCTTTACAATACTTGTAGTCAGAATACTTGTATTTGGAAGACTGATTGCAATATCAACGAAGTGCTAATTTTTAGATATATAATTTTCAGTAGTATTCATCTCTTCCAAATATTGTTTCTCATAGCAACTTGAGAAAGTTTTGGCCGTGGCATTTTCACAACAGTAAAAGCTTTAAAAAAGTCTCTAAGTTATACAGACTATTTTTTTAAACAAAAATTAGAGCCTTGACATCAATTTTAATTAAGTAATCATGAGAACTCAAAAAGCTCAAAACATGTTCAAGCAGAAAGGATTTTAGTAATGAAAATTGAAATTAATAACCATTTCACACTGAAAGAGCTGATAGTGCTCAAAAATATTTTGAACTTATATAATTGAAAAGTGGACAAATGCTTTAAAATGATACCTAAACCAAAATCTAACTTCCGAAAACTTCAAATTTCTAAAAAAACTAATTAATTAGCAGATCTATAATTTGTGGTGGTAAGCTTTCCAATGATATAAGCCACAAGAAAATGAAGAAATTCTGCATTATTGAAATTTGTAGGGTACTGTATATTCTTAAAGGAAGAAAAAGAATATGTATATAAGTAGTATTATTATAAGTAGTAGCAGTCGTAGGATTATTGAGGAATCTTTAAATATCTTAGACTCAGCCATAAGTTGGGAATCAGGAAGGAGGAGTGTTCAAAATCTTGGGGACCGCGATGTCAGACTGATCCATAAAGGGGATCCGCGGCAGGGATGGGGATTCTTTCCGAAAAAGATGGATTTTTAAATCGATTCACAAAAAAATCGAGGACTGAAAGATTGATTTCTAAAAAATCGATTTTTTTTTCAAGTCTGCATTTACAAAGTAAATATAAATCCATTTCAAGAAAAACAAGAAAATACCATAATGAACGATCGTTTATCAGTAAAATCAGGAAGTTTTTTTTTAGTTCAGGGAATTCGACAATTACAATTATATATCAAAGTACCAGTTATAAAAGAAGACATTTATTTTCTAAATGTGTCTGTTACATTGAAAAGTTTAGAAAATAGATAGAGTTTATAGTTCCCAATGCTTAATATCTAAACTTTTTAAAAACAACAGTCTCTCCAGTCTACTGGGATACAAGTGGGTTCCGCTCATCACTTGCGATGTTGCCAGCAATAAAAAAAAGGAGCTCACAAGGAACAGATGATACCACGATACTCATACAGATCATAGCTATTGAGTGAATATGATGAAAAATCGAGTTTTTTTGTTTTTTCCATTAAAGTATAGGATCATACTTCAGGTGCACAACTGCCTGCGATAAATAATACTTAAATTCTTTGTTCTTTATCGTTTTTACCAATATGGCTTTTACCAAAATGGAAAATAAATCGAATTTTGATTTTCTAGGATGAAATATCGATTCAGTGCAACATATCGACTTAAAAGATGGATATTTTTTTTGCCCGAGAAACCAATTTTTCGATTAATCGATCTCAGATCACCATCCCTAGTCCGCGGTGATCCAAAGTTTAAGAACCACTGCTTTATCGCTTTTATCGAGGAGTTAAGTAGCGTAAAAGGAATCAATTTCTATTTGAAGGAGAAATGTTTAAAATCCACTTGGCGTCATCTATCAATGGGGTTCAGGTAATTCGTTCTGTTGAAAGACATTCTCATTTCAAGATTTTCTAATTAAACGAGAATGAATATTTTTATTAAAAAAGACAAAATTTTGTTTACCTCTAGCACTATCTATTTATACGTCAAGTTACTAACTGCAAGGAGAAAGTTTTACTCACTCCTGGTGCCCTATATTCATGAGTGAGATGATTAAATTGAAAGAAATTCTATTTGCCTCTGTGGACATTGATTGACGTGTCAGAAAACTGATTTTAAACGAAGAAATTATTTTGACTCTATGTACTGATTCTAACTGGGACAGTTGCTGATACGAACAATGATGATTTATTTCACATAAAAATGAATAAAGTAAAATTAATTTTCAATGTTCCGGAAAGTTAGAATTGATTCAGATTTGTAGGAAAATTTTTGTAATATTGAATTTTTGTCGTGTGAACGTTGCAAATAGCTATTATATATCCTCTTGAAATCTCTCCAAAATCCTTCAAAAATATTTTTATGGTTAAAAGCACTTAACAGTGAGTATGGGGATCATTAAAGCTTTAAGAATAGAATTTTATGCAGAATTAGAAGCTTTAAGTATAATTTCCCTTCAAATCTACTGCTTAAGAAATATGAAAACTTGCGGTGGTCTCCAACACAAAGAACCGATTTCTTGTTAGGGAACTAATGACTTCCCAACGGTGACGTAGTTTCGCGGGGGGAAGTATCCAAAACAGGACAATACCGACACTTAAGTTCCAGGGCAAGTCTCCCTTTATCCAGCCGACAGATAAGTGACAAGCGCAGTTCCCAAGTCAATCTTCGACTTCAAAGTCCGCCGCACGAGAGGTGACAAGGACCAATGGTTGAGTAGTAACTCCAGTTGCATCCAAAAATAAATGATTCTGCATCACGTGTTTCTTTTGAAGGCGTGACATATTCCATCTTCAGAGAGACCAAAAAAGACACTCAGAGATACTCTAACACAATCCAACGGGCTCTCTATCAGATTCACATTCCCTGAGATTCGCTTGTATTCTCTCAAACCTACTATCAAACGATTCAAGGTTCCAGCAAAACGATTATCATGTCGTCCTGACGCAACCATCAGATAAGTAACCCGCTCTTAAGTGCCTCATCAGACTTAATGGACATTTGCAAGAATAAAGTGAGAGCATAAGCATTCAGAATGAAAATATTTTATTTGTAAAGTAAATACAGTAAAAAAGAAATATTTATATATATGCTTATACATATTTTTTAAAAATTAACTGATTCGCTTGCTTGCTTAATGGAAGAACATTTAATGACTCGATTGGATTTAATACTGATGCAAGTACCAACGTGGCATAGCAGCAGCATTCCAAGTTCTTTGATTTCTCAGATTTTGTCTATAAAAGTTACAAGATTCACATCAGATATGAAAAGTTTTATGTTAAAATAATGTATGTCAATATTGTTATTGTAATAGTAACTCACACACACATTCATGTATGGTTTAATTCGAATTACAGTGAAAATCACTTAACACGAAACTGAAGGGACTGAAATATTTTTTCGTATTAAAGGATATTGAAAAAAAACATATATCAATAAAATTAAGTTTATTAGAATTTATTTCTTATTTACATAGATATGTATATCTTTATATATATATAATTCTTCTGTGCGTGTGTATGTGACTGAACTCCACCTAAACGGCTGGACCGATTTTGATGACATTTTTTTTTTTTGGGGGTTCAAGTTGATTAGAGAATGTTTTAGATTCACAATTCGGTCCAATGTCGCAATTAGTTAAAAATGCGTCAAAATTATGTAAGGGCACGGGATTGTTCGTAAAAAAAAATCATGGGCAATATTCTTGAGGCCACTATTGTGAGCGGTAAACTTCAAGTTGTAGTTGTACTCTCTTCTACTACAAATCCCAATAATTCTTTCAAACTCACCTACGCATTCAAATGTTTGCAATTTCCATTTCACTTGGTATTTTCTATGACCATTAATAAGTCACAAGGTCAAACAATGACAATTTGTGGCTCAGATTTAGAAATCCCTTGCTTTTCGCATGGCCGAGTTGCACATTCGAGGTTT